AAGAAGTGCACCTGTGGCTTTGTGCCATGCCTTTCAAGACAAAGCRATTCAGCTCTGCACTCCCATCACTTTAAGACAAGTACCCAAATTGGCTTTTTCTCTGGGAAAAGCATGAATATATACATGTATAGACAACAGAAAGGAAACATCCCAGCACATTCAGCGTCTGGGAACAATCATGGACAAAAACTGGAAGTTGGGTAGTTTAAATTCCAGGTATTATTGTCAGRATATTGGAATAAGTATGTATCCTACTGGTATTCCTTGAAGAAGAGGTTGTATTTGGCAACGTTAAGTGAGAAAAAAAAAAAACTTCAACCATAGAAAAGAAATYGTGAAGGAAAAGGAAATCCCACTGTTAGTCTGAGGTTGGTGGTARTGGGAAAGACTAGGAGACCTGGCAWTTCCTAGAAAGAGATCACTGTATCCTAGTGAAAGCCTGGAAACACTCTAGGCTTGCCAGCCAGGAAGGAGTAGGAGTAAATACAGAACTCTGAGAAAGCTGTGCTCAGCATATGCACATACATACATGAATACCTAAAAAAAAAGCATCAGAAATAAGTAGAGAAGTTGTCACTATTTTATTATGGAAGAAAACCTGAATTTCACCAGCCCAGAAAAAGTAAGAACACTGATCACCCCAGAAATATTAGAAAAATGGAAACGTGGCAGTTTCACAGAATGTAAAAAGAGAAACTGTATGAASACCAAAGTAGATATTTACCTTCAAAGTTTTATTTGCCTGCTCCAAATTCTCAGCGTAGTGGCCATAAAGATCCAGACTCTGACAGAAATTTTCCAGTCCTGGTCCCAAATTTCCTTTCTCCAGGTGAAGTGACAGAACACTGTGCACAAGGAGCAAAGATAGTTTGTGAGGGATACATTAGTGATGGCATTTTCACATCCCCCTCTKGTTCATTCCTATGCTGACATTTCTTTGCCATTCTCCACCTCACATCCAGTTACTGTGCCAAATATGTGCTTAGAGGTCAGAGATAAAGCCAAAAAACACATTGTGGGATGGACTTATTGAGYTTTAAACCACTGTGTAGTAACCCCATACCCAGATATGTGATACAGATCAGGAGTTCCCTGGCAACTCCTCCAAGTGCCACCAAGGCTGAGAGTGCTGAGAGTGAATGCCTGTTTTACAAGGTGTTAGACTTCTTCCCCAAATCTTACAATCTCATCAACACAGAGTCCTCCCAATATAATTACAGGAATTGCATCTGTGTGTACACTTACTGGCTGGCTGAATATAAGGATTCCAGRGGTCCAAATATAGTTTCCAACACAGCAGGTTTCAGGGTTCCTTTGGCTTTTAAAATTGTCACGAAGTACTAAGTAGGAAAAAAAACAGATTTTCAAACAGATAGAATTCACAAATCATTACAGAAYCATGGTATGGTTTGGGTTGGAAAGTATCTTAAAGACCATCTWGTTCCTTTCAAGCACCATCTAACCTGGCCTATCACTTTCAGGAATGAGGCATCTACAGCTTCTCTGGGCAGGCTGTGCCAGTGCATAACAACCCTCTCAGTTAACAAATTGTTCCTAACATCAAATCTAAACCAATTTAAAACTGTTCCCCCTTGTCCTACCAGTATATGACTGTGTAAAAAAGTCACTCTTCCTCATTTTTGTAACCATTCTTCAGGTACCAGAAAGCTGCACAGCAGAAGCCAGAAGCTGCAGCTTGCATACTCTTTGGCTTGGAAGAATATCAAATATTGTGAATGTCTACCTGAGACATCCATCATTAGAAGTAAGCCTTATTTGTAACTCTTACCACAGCTTTAAACAYGTGAAACAGTAGTACAGCACTGATAAAGAGTATATTTCAGTACCCTCAGATCTGTTTTTTCCTATCTTGTCTGTAATTTTTGTGTTTTCTGTGACCCTACAGTTCATATACTTCAGGCATCTTAAGGTGAGCCCCCTACTCAATCAAAACTTAAAAGATTTATGTCTGTGTACAGAACAAAGCCAAAAGGCCAAACCTATGAGCTATTGAATATTACAGAGGAAGTAAAAGAAAACAAAAAAAAAATCTTTCATCTACAGCATGTGTCCAGGCATTAGGCATGTAACAAAGCCCAACTCTTGGCCCTTCCCCATGACAACACGAATAAGTATGTGCTGTTTGAAGATAACCACGTATCAGCAGGGACAGAAATACTCACTGTGAGCACCAAATCCAGCTGCTCAAGGTAGTTGTGTTCGGTTTCCAGCAGCTCCTTGGCTGTCCGGCTGCGCTTTCTCTCCCACCGAGCCCTCTGGTCTTCCACAGTGTTTGCTCCAACCACAAATGGCAGGGGTGAGACACTCATGGCAGACTCAGCGTTGATATGCAGGGAGGCAAGGGATCCTGAGGAGCCAAGCAAGATGGACACACAGCAAAAGAATAAGCCATATTGCACAGTAGGATTCTGAGCTAAAACTCCACACTTTCCCATGAAATGAGGGAATTCTATTGCCAGCAACCATTATTAACAGTTTCCTTCTACATTCCCTCCCACGGGCACMAGGGCTCTGCATTAACCAGAAGAATAGCATTATGGAGACATGATGATGTGGAAATGATGATACATCTGCAAGAAAATCTCAGTGCACAATCCCACTTGCAAACCACTGTTTCCTGTGTTTTGCTCTCCCCATTCTTTGTGTGAAATTCTCATTAAACTCAGGCGAGTTAGTTAGTGGGTGGAAGARGTGAATAAGAGTAGAAAACAGTTATGAGATTTCTCTTGTGGGGAGGAAGAGAAGAGAGCACTCTTGCTTGTTTTCCTATGAAGGCTATTAAGAAGCAAGAGATTTGCTTTGTCGTTTACTAACAGTACTTTGTGCTTTTAGAGATGAGAGAGGCAGGGCAGCTGCTGCAAAGAGGTGAGCACGGTTTTGCTCCTGCTCTATCTGCTTTGCTCTGCACTTCTGCTACARTATCATGATTTTGTTACCCAGAAAAATACTACCTCTTTCAGCACATTCTCTCAGAGAAAGAGGCATGTTTTAGCAGGACACCAGTTAAATGYTGATCTTTTGATGAAAAGGCAGTGCAGGCAGTTGCACACTTGGCATTAAAACTGCAGTTYCATTGGAAACTGAGTTACTTCTGAAAAACTCTGGTTCCCATATGAACATTCATACAGCAAGATGTGTCATCACAGAGAAGGACACTTATCAAACACCATCTTCCAGAGACATTCAGATATGTAAATCAATGTCTGAAACAAACGTTTCACATTAAATGAGTACCAGGACTCAATTAATTAGCAAAGTGCAGATAGCTGAGGGACATGTGCAGTATTTTACATTAGCAGGAGCTCCTCCAGAGGTTTAGTCTCATATTCACTTACAGTACAGCCACAAGCCTAACCAAACCAAATTTTGGTGAAAGAGGGCAGACTTGGCATGGACTGTGAGGCAGCACCACAGGGAACACCACACAAAGTTTATCATTAGTCCTCCCCCTGGAGTGTTCAAGGCCAGGCTGGGTGYGGTTCTGAGCAACCCTGTCTGGTGGAAGATGTCTCTTTTCAGGGGTGTTGGAAGGAGGTGGKATTTGAGGTCCTTTCCAACCCAAATTATTCTGTGATTCTATTCATGTGCAGTTGGAAAATACTCACCAGGAATGGACTAAAAYGGTGCCAAGCACAGAGAACCTTTAGCCAGAGTAGATTGCAGTTGGGATTTACATTTTGCGGACCAATTTCTTTTAACTAACAATAACTAAAAAAAAAAACAAAAACAAAGTTATACCAGGTTAGACCATCTCCTRCTCACATAAAGAAGTTAAAACACTCCCATTATTGCTCAGTACATTCTAACCGTGTCATGTCTGTAGGGTGAGAGCTCTCTGCAGCCTGTGTATACACTAGGAAACACTTGACTTATGGGTGACAGAACTGCTCTCACTTGCTTCTCCCATCTCACATTCACAAACCAGTGAACACCCTTTGTTACTGTGAAGTACCTTATGATGCACCATTAGCAGTATCCCCTTCAACATTTTCAAATTTTTTTAGTACCCTCAAAGAATTTCCTGTTATTATWGCAGCACAGCATCTCTCGATGTCTCAGGAGTGTAACCACACGGTGGGGTCAGCTCCGAGGGCCCACATGGCCCCACACCCACACTGTAAGGGGAAGAGGAAGGAAAAACCTCTGGAGACCACAGCCAGCCCTAATCCAGTTTGAGGAGTAAAGGAGTAAATATTGCATGAGTTAATATCGTAGGTAAACCACACACCTACCCTTTCTTCAATTCGCCTCTGATGCAGGGTACTGAAAATGTGTTTTGGATCAGTCAAAACCAAGGGTATTTTATTTTTCCAGCAGATGAGAAAAGAACAATCAAAAYTCTTGTGTGATTGAAYAGAATGTTTTTCTTGACYAAAAATGAAGCATTTCACTCATTATCAGGTCTAGRTTTTTCTTTTTAATCAAA